CCCAACAACCAATAAGATTGCACAGGTTGGGCCTCCTCCGGGTGCTATCGACAGGACAATGCCGGCTGGTGGCTCCCCGAAGGAGGGCCTTCTCTGTAGCTGCACTGGCCTTGTGGAATGAGCTACCCGCCGAGATCTGGACCCTCACCACTCTCCCGGCATTCCGTAAAGCAACCAAGACCTGGCTGTTCCGGCAGGCATGGGGCTGTTGATGAATATCCAGCCCCATTTGATTGAATGGATGATAGATTAATTTTAACAATTGTATTTTTAAAATTTTTATATGTTTTTACTTTTGTCCCAAGGGAGTGGGCGGCATACAAATCTTATTAAAGTAAAGTAAAGTCATGGAGCAAATGAAATGTTTTTCAAATTAAACAAAAAAAAATCTGAAAAGTTAAATCAAAATTTGAATATTTTAAAATTAAATGTAAGTAGGATATTATTGCTATTTTATTACGCAAACATGTACAGCAATTATAGATATCTTAGTACAGTGCTGAATGAACCTGAATCATGCAAAAGGCAGACTTGAATTCAATTTTGGACTTTAATTTGGTTTTTTTTCACTGCAAACAGTATCAAGTCTGGTATTTAGTTTTACTTTCAGATGCAATAACCAGTCAGGTGTTGAGGAATAGGCTGAATATCAATAAATTGCACCTAATTGGAAGTTAGGGAATCAGCGAAGTAAATTTTCTTCTTGCAGTCACACATGGAAATAAAGTAGATGCTGATCTTCAAAAGATTACTTGTGCTTTTGGACAAATAAAATTCCCTGCAGCGCATTGAAAAATATACGTTCAGGGAATACCTTTTGAGTCACAATCATCTGGATTGCTACTGCAATAATAAATGTGCTTAAGGTTTATGAGGGTCTTAATGGTGTTCTATTTCATATCCTAATTGAGTTTGTTCTTCAGAGAGTTTCTCCGAATTGAGATTCATGAGGAAACTCAATGTTTCGATAGGTTAGGAAAAAGCAAGAACTTGAGCTACATCCCCTTTCTTTTCCAGAAGATGATTTTTTCTAGATATAAAAATTATTCGGTCAGAAGGTTTCTGCCTTTTGACTGGAAACTGGATTAGTATTGTTAAGTCTATCCCCGTTAGGAGACTAGAGTTCTGCAGCAGAAGTTAGTGAGTCGCTGAATAGTCAGAATAGCTTTACTCGCGTAACAAAAATAGAATAGATAGTCTTCAAAATCAGGCTATAAGCAGTCTTGTAGTATATAAACAGTCTATTTACAATACGTTGAAGTTACAATTGCTCAACTCATGATTTACCATGTAGACAGGTAACTAACATACAGGCTAGCCACCATCCAATACACGGTCTTCTCTCCCAATTACTAAGCACATACAGTAACAGTCAGTAACTATCAGGAACAACAGTAGAACCAGTAGAATCAGTAAACTCAGGAAACATCAGGAGCATCAGGGAGCATCAGAGAGAACTCCGTACTAGTTCCTACTTCCTTATATGGCTGCTTAAAGCAATAGCATTTAGCAGGGTGGGTGGGTGGGTGGATGGATGGATGGATGGATGGATGGATGGATGGATGGATGGATGCTGTGTAAAATTTGTGAACACAGAGCTATTCATTTTTTTAAATATAAGAGCTAGTTAGAAATATAGTGCAAAAGGTAAATTAATTTGTCTAACTCATATCTGCCCTGACATTATCTTGTATTCGTTTAAGATATGTTATTGAGATGGTAATATGTTAACTTGGTTTTTCTGCAGGTCTCCTTGGAAAGGGCTTCCAGAATTGACTAATGAAAATGGTCAATATTGTCCGTTCAGCTGTGAAACTCAGGCTTGGTCAATTGCTGTGGTCCTTGAGGTTCTCTATGATTTGTAACAGTAGTTGTCTGTCGTATAAAACTGCTAGCTTTTGTCTGGAATGCAAATAACAATGCTTGTCTTATTGTTAAAAATCCTACTGATAGACGTTGTTAATGCCTATTGTTCCTTGGCAACTGTTAGGACTGTGCGAGTGTTCATCATTTGAGAATCACACCAGAATCTTTAAAATCAATGAGTGTATCTTAAAATATGCTCAATATGTATATGAAGTATAAAAGCATAGAAAATTAGACTTTGATATGTTTCAAATGCCACGTATCTTCTATTTCCACATGTTCTATTTCAGAAACCAATTAGAATGGTAGCCCTGATTTAAGGTACCTCTATATAGGTAGTCTTCAACTTACAACCAATTGCTTAGTTCCAATGAACTTACTTGGGGGATACTGATAACTCAGATTCAAAGTTCTGACAGTGGGTCCCGCCACGGTTATGTGACTGCACTTCAGGCCCTTGGCAAGTGAGCTGCATTTATGGCTGTTTGCAGTGGCCTACAGCCACCTGACCATGTTTTACTATGGTTTTGCCAAAAATTGGCATTTACTTTCGCTATTCAGCCAAACTGCACCCATAGCAAACCATTGCTTCTTTAACAACCATGTTCCCTTAACAACTACTGCAAAAAAGGCTGTAAAATCAACCTTTTCTTTATTTTGCAACCATCACGAGTTATGACCACGATGAGCAGTCTCCATTATAGTTATAATTTGATTACTACCTGAATTTTACATTTAAGAGCCTTAGAAGCATAGTACATCGGACCAGTGGTCCCATATTCTGCTCCCCAGTAGCAATGTTATAGAAATAATATCCCCCTGCTAAGCAGGACATGAATAAAAGAGCTCTCTCCCATTCAATGTTACTTGGGAAGGGATCCAGAGAAGCCCATTACATCCGTTACTGAAAATGCTGGTTAGAATGGCTAACCAGCATTAATCCTGGATGAGTCAAATCCCTTCCAAAAGAAATTTACCAAAACTATGCCTTGTGTTAGCAAATTCCCAATGCTGTTTGAATAACTTTATCTACTGTAATGTCCCACCATTTAGCTGGCCCTAGATTCTAGTATTTTGAGAGTAAGAGGGAGGAATCTCTCCCACTCTATCCATAAAATGTTAATATACCTTTAACCTTTGTCCCCTCCCTTTCTTACCTTCTTGTAAAAACTTTAAAGACACCTTTCCCTCTATTTTCTTTTTACAATAGGGCATAATTAATTTGGAGCCAGACTTTGGTTTTCTGTGGCTTATATGCTCCAAATGGGAGCCCTTGCACTGCTCGTTCAGAATCGTTGAAAATCTCAAAGCATACCCAGTGGAGAAGGGTACTTTAATTTAACATACAATGAGCGCCTATAAAAACACACTTTGCTTTGAAGCATGTAATTGTTTGTCCATGCTGTACAATAAAATACCAAGCTTACTCAGGTTATAATGTAGGAGTAAAAGAGTCTCATGTACTAAGTTTGCATTTTGCCAACTTTTGAAAGTTGTTAAAAGTAATTACTGTATTTAGAATCTAATTTATTGTATATATGTGTATGTATATATATAACTGAAATGAATTAGGATTGGGGGGGGAATAAATTGTCTGTAAGACGAAGAGCTTTCTGCAGAAGTCTTGAAAGGAGCCACAACTTTAGTTTTTTTAAAAAATGACGTTCAAGTAGTGTTCAAGTTGCTCACTACTTGCACAGTCACTCCCACCAAAATTGCAACATCGCAGCTATCCACAACTGTGGATCTCCTTCAATATGTGGGCTTACTATAATAATGTGAAAGGAGAACCTAGTGAATTGGGCTCATCTGCATAAAAGGCTTGCCACTCTGAAACTATTTCAAGGAGCTATTTACAGGCCTCCCAACTTGATGGTTGTTTGTGCATTAGCCCTTAGTGGAACTTAGCAGGAAGGCAATTGCTTTTTAGCAGAAGGTTGGAAGAGATTCCAGCCCTCAATTTAAGTCAATTTGTTCTAAGTACTTTAAATTAAGGTTTAGTGAAATCATCTGGAACTCAATAGCCAGAGCTCATCTGTTCCATAATTTCAGTGCAATTACTCAGCAAAGGCCAGATTAGGCTACCTGATGTTACTTTCTGTTGCAGGAGGAAATAGTAAGTTTTAGCTTAGTGGGATGACAATGGCAAAAATCACTGCCTTGATAATGCATAGATATAACACAATTTAATGATACTCCATTTCAGCACTGTTGCTACTATGTTTATTAGTAGGGATACCATATCTAGTCTTCAAAAATCCATCTGACACTAGAGGGCAGCAAAAAGGTACAAAAAAGTGGCTCTCTGCTGCCATCTCACAGTCATCAATATTTTAGCTTTGCTATGGTTGCCCTTAAAATTATAGCTGGAGTTTTCTCTTAAGCCGAGGTGGCGCAGTGGTTAGGGTGCAGTACTGCAGGCCACTTTAGCTGACTGTTATCTGCAGTTCAGCGGTTCAAATCTCACTGGCTCAAGGTTGACTCAGCCTTCCATCCTTCCAAGGTGGGTAAAATGAGGACCCAGACTGTGGGGGCGATATGCTGACTCTGTAAACCGCTTAGAGAGGGCTGAAAGCCCTATGAAGCGGTATATAAGTCTAACTGCTATTGCTATTGCTATTAAGGCCATTTGGTGGTAAAACAAGCCAATAAACAGCTTAGAGATCCCACTGAGCTGCTATGTATATTGCTTTTTAAAACTTAAGTTTACATTGGTTCTTTCACACTATGAATAATTTAAGAATACTTAATGATTGACACTTGCACTACTTCATTTAATAAACAATCACTGTCAGCTAATCTCATCTAATAACTAGTAAGTTTACCATTAATAAAAGATTGATTCTATTATAACATCTCAATTTTTGACATTCCTATCCATTTTGAGACATTAAAAATGAATGTCTAATTAAAATTCTATGTATTTGGTTAGGGTTTCAAAAAGTTGTATTAGGAAAATAGATACGGACATATTTATTTCTAAAAATTACATTTGAGGATATATGAATAAGAATTTTAAAAATTGTCAATTTTACCTATCTAATATCTCTAGGATTCATATTATTAAAAACAAATTGAGGTGATCCTGAACTCAGTGAGTTGGAAGCATACAGCATCAATTCTACTGATTTCAGAGTTGGCATGCATAATGTTTTTATGCTACCTACCTGGAAATCAGGTATGATTCTATTTAAGACAACTGATTTGGTAGATAAGAATATCTAGATGTTAATAGCAAAGCCAACTGGACAACTGGATTTGGAGGTTCTCTGAAGCAGCCATAATGTTAGCTAGGGGTTCTCCCGAACCCGTGGCAGCCCACCTCTGCCTATCAGAGCTTAGTATTAGCAATTATTAGATTTGAGTCATATATGTTTGAAGAAAATCTAATAGGTTCAAAAGTAAAGATTTCTGAATTGATATATTTTAGTATTAAAGCTCTAGTATCAGACTGGTGGAGCCCAGCGGAAAATGGATGTGGGAAATTCTGGGACTTAAAACCCACAGGTCTTAAAGTTGCCAAAATGGAACCCCCTTGTTCTAGAACTACCAAATCAATAATAATAAAAGTAGTCCAAAATTGAGTTTTCTTTTCTGACTTTGAAAACACTTGTTTCTTCCAGTGCCAAATTTACTTTGGATTGTCTGTCTAGATAATTTAGACTTTTATTGAGAAAACTTCAGAACTGTGTGTGTACTAGACAATATGTCAAGCTTCAGAGACATCAGGAGATCCAGGCAGTTCAAATGAATATGAAGGTTTATTGCAAGCTTAAGCTCTCTACAAGAATCTGAAGTACTAGTGGTATTAGATAAGAGTCACAGGAATTCAAGGTGGGCTGGACTTAGATCCCTTGTGGATGCAAAGGGACTCATGACTGATATCATGTTTGACCCCTCCCTCATGCTCAGCCAGTCATCTACATAATATTCTTCATAGCTTCGCATTTTAGAGGTACTTGAGGATAAAGGGGTGACTTGTTACCAGTCCTTCCGTTCTGATAAAATTATGAATTGCACAGTCCTGTCTGGATACAGTATACATTTCTCAAGTTATTTTAGTACAATAATGTTTAAAAAATGCTTAAATCTATATCAACGGTGTGTCTGTATTCAAATGGTATATATAAAGGATTTAAAAATTTAAAATTAGACAACTATTTCAAGAATAACAGCTGTGTTTGTAAAAAATTAATATTGTACTTGCAACAATTATAAAATTGCATTTCACTGTTCCTTCATTGTAGCCTAAACCTAATTAGAAAGAAAAAAGAAAGTTTCAGATTAAAATTTCCATTCTAGCAGCACTTAAAGCAATATACGTATAACATATAATTTAGTTGGCAAAATAATTGGCAGAGTTATGTTGTACGCTACCGTGTTTCATGAAACTTTTGTTGGCAGATCAAACAAACGGTTGCACTTTTTTTTTTCCCAGTCCGCAAATCCTAGCCATCAGCATTTTGTTCTCTTTCAACCAGGGAGCAAAGCCATCTGGATAGCACATCTGTACATCTTTTTTTTTGCTGCTTTTCAGTTCATACTAATTTGTAACGTTCACTTCATTAGTGCTTATCAGCCCTGAAAACAATGCAGAAGGGAATAATAGAATGGTGCTTGTTTCATAGGAAGTGTAATTGTTGCACACATGAGTCTTTGTCTGTCTGCTACAGGTATTTTTGCTACATTGACTACTATGCAGCTACATGTCAGTGGCATTCAATAAAAATCTTAACAATGGTATATTGCTTGTCATGTATTCATTTCTCCATAACTGCCGTGCTTCCTGTTATGGATCCCAGTAGTGAACGGAACATAACTCGGCTTAATTCTACTCACGCCAATATGATAGGAAGGCTACTTTTGGCTTTTAGCAATAAAAGTTCCTGATACTTTAAGGATCCTAAGGTTCAAGTGTTGGGAAAGTCATTTACAAGACAAAGTCTAATTAGATATTCTGTATCAGTGATGGCTAATCTTTTTGTCATTGTGTGCCAAAAGTGCACGCGTGTGCAACAGTGCGCACAAGCGTGCCCACATCCATAATGCAATGCACATGTCGCACCCTCCTTCTGCTCCACCTTGTGTGCATTCACACACAACATCCCTGCACGCCCCCTGCACATGTGCGCGCAACCCCCTGAGTGCTGTTTTGGGCCTAGCAGGCCTTTCTGCAGCCTCTGGGGACCAAAAACTGGGCACGTGTCTCCGGCATGCGCCCATCTCTGCGCATGTGTGGCAGAGATCTGAAAACCAGCTAGCTAGCGGGATGTGCACGGACATGCACAATGGAGCTGAGGGGACGGCTCGCATGCCCCACAGAAAGGGCTCCATGTGCCACCTGTGGCACACATGCCATCATGGTTCTATATACTCAGCAATGCAACAGTTACTGTTCTTTATAAGAATCTTATTTTTTTAATATACAGGCAAAATGTTACAATCTTTTTGTTTTGAGGTTGTCTAAGGGCAAGAAATTTTAGTTTGTGTATCATTGTATTATAGAAAGTGCAGCAGTAACTATCCTTGGGAATAAAGCTGTTTGCACTACTGTAATGAGGACAGTAAGACTTACTCTTTATTAAAGGAGCAGAATTTAAATAGTTTTGAATAGTTTTCAAACATCTTAAATTGCTGGTTTTTGCAGAATAGAAGAAGCTGTGCATGTTCCAAGACTTGATGATTTATGTTACAGACTGATTTTTAACATACACTGTATATATACTGTATATACAAAATATTATTTTATATGTAATCAGTATGACTAGAATTCTAAGTAATATGAATGCATGAAGCACTAAATGTAAGAAGATTGTTGTGCAATATTGGTGCAATACTTTAACAAGCAGTGGTATTCAAAATGTTTTCAACTCAAAAGGTTTTCCACTGGTGCGGAATTCTGGGAGTTGAAATCTACACATCTGAAAGTTACCAAAGTTGAGGAGCACTGCTGTATAGGCACATTTTCTGTTGCATTGCTAGTGGTTTCAAACGGGTTGGGGAATTATGGGGTCCACCTCCAACTTTGCCAATGGAAGGGCACAAAAATGTCAGCAGGTGCCTTCATCCAATTCATCTTCACCAAATTTGCTTTTTGTGAGGGGTTTAAACAAAATAACTAGTCTGGTGGACCAGCAAACCTTGAAGTATGTAAGTCACAGCTGTCAAACTCCCAGCCCACGGGCCAAATGCGTCACAGGCTGGCCACGCCTGGTTTAGTGAAGGGAGGCAACGAATCCTGATACATTATGTGACACCGCCGTGATGACGTGGGTTTGACACCCCTGATGTAAATGTTGGAGGCAAGATGCTAAAAAAAAGCAGGAAG